CACTCACCAAGCACACAGGGTCTCTGACTCCACCCCTAACACCCGAGAGAGACAGACAGACAGGCAGGCAGACTGCCCTTAAAGAGAAGGTTCATCTGGATGCCTAAGGGGAGCTATGATGGCGTTGAGTTATTTTCTTACGTGAAGGCTGTTTTAGTGGGAAAATTCAAATGGAAATGTTTAATAATCAAATAAGATGACAAAAGCCAAGCAAAGCCACGGCTACCATTTCCCCGTCGCACGGTTGTCCCAGAAACAACTCTAGTCACTGGAGACACTGGTCTTCAGGAAGGAAGAGGAACTGAGAAGGCAGTGATGAGAAGTACTGTGCTGAGGGGCTCCCCCACTCCAGCTAGGGGCTTGGCTCTGCCTGAGCAGTCAGGTAGTGGATTGCGTGTTACACACTCAGGCTTCTCTCGTGACTAGTGTCCAGTCCTCTGTAAAATCGTTCTAGAAATTGGTCTATTGGTTACAGAACACCCATCTCTGATCTGTGGAGTCCTTGAGATTAACCCTCGAGCTTTTTGCCCCAGCCATCACCCCATCTCCCTTGCACGTGCACTGATTAGCATTGCAAGTCAAAGACTAATTGCTCTTGGTGCAATGGCTGGGTACTTCTTTATGTACTCTGTAACACATGTCCTGTGTTAAATGATCTAGGACTGGGCACATCTCCTACTTTTTATTGACATATGTTGATTGTACAAAATAATGAGTTTCCATTGTGATTTTTCTTACATGTGTATAATTTACTTTTATTATATTCAATCCCTCCCCTCTACTGTCCTCATCCCTTCCGGCCCCTTCTTCCCAAATTAGGACAGAAAACTGTTTTGGTGAATACCTGCTCACGCCTCGGTCTCTGCAGGCACTCGTACTTACATGTACATATTACATACATGCACACATGTTCCTAATTTTAAAAAAAATCTTACAGTTTAGTAACATGCCTCCAAATCATACAGCTTGCAAAACGACACGGCCAGGATAAAAATCCAAGCAGCGACTCCATTGCCCTTGGATTCTTGTTGAGTGAGTGAATGAGAGAAGGAATCGGAAGGAGGTGGACAGGAGCAGAGTTTGAAAACAAGTGAGCACCTGGATAAAAGTGTGCCCTGAGGCATGTGGGGACCATAGGCGGGAGGAGTTAGTTCGGTGGGTCAGGGTCAATCTCCCTTCTCCCACCCTCCCAAGAACATCGCCTCTGCAACTGCCCGATCTCTGAAGCATCGGGAGTTTTTCTCCTTTTGGTCAGTGTGTAAACATGCTGAAATACTTCTCGTCCTCAAAACAACAATAAAAACACATTGCCACCCTTACCTCACCTTCCCTCTAGCCGTTTCTGTCTCCCTTTGTAGCAAACTCCTCAAAATAGCCTCCCGTCTGACCCTAGTCACCCCTTGCTTCCTCGTAAGCCCAGTGGAATCTGAGTTGAGCGGCCACCAGTCCCACCGCCCCTGTACCCATAATCCCACCTACGCCCACTAGTGAAGCAGCTTCCAGGGAAGTCAGCAGTGGCCTGCATGTTGCCCGAGTCAGTACTCCAGCCCAGGTCTCGCCTGACCAGCCTACCCTATGTTTGACACCACTGCCCCCTGTGGGACTCATACTCTCTCTCCTGGATTTTGATGTTGTTGTTGTTGGAGACAGGCTCCCACTCTGTCACTCAGACTGGCATCAAGCTTGTGCCAGTCCTCCTGCCTCAGCCTCCTGGGAGCTGGGATTCTAGGCCTGAGCCACCTTGCCTGTCTTCTGGTTAGTTTCAGTTTTTGTCTTCACCTACTACTCCATCCTGGTGCTTCTGGCTGTCTCCTAGATGTTGATCTTTCCAAGGCACATGCCTGTCCAAAAGTAGCAATTCTCCCTTGCCATCGAATCCAGACGTGAGCCAGGTGTTCAGTCTGCCTCTGCCACCTTACTTTCCTTATGTGTGTATGTTGCCTGCGAAGACCCCCAGATGTTGACTTCTGCAGACATTAGTCAGCACGGCAACTCTCCCTTGTGTTGAATGCAGACATGAGTCCGGTGCCCAGCGCCTGGATGATCGTCTGCCTGCGTCTGCCACCTTCTGTGTCTCACCACACTTGTATGGTGTTTGAGAAGATGGCCAGCCCTCCACTTCTCACCAGATCCCAGGGATCCAAGTTCCCGCTGCATAAGAGGCTACGGGTGGGATTTTTCCGTTCCTTCACCCCCTTGTTGGCGGCCTCCATGGCAGCCTCTGCTTCCAGATGTAACCTTCCGTCCATTCACTGCCCAAGACTTGGCCTGGTTCCCTAAACTCGGCCCTTCTGAGCGAAGTCGGGGAGTGGACGTTGGGTTTTCGTTTGAGCCTGAAGAGCGTGCGGTTTGCACTCCTCACCCCAGGGGCTGGTTAGTCACGTTCGCAGCACAATGGGCACTCTTAGTGGAGGAAACGCCCCATCTTCCACAGTGAAATGCCAGCTGCAGAGCAGGAGAAGAACAAGGGCAGAATGATTTGATCAGACATCTGGGGACCCCCTGGCATTTGGAGTGGGTGCCTAGAGAAACTAACTGTTCTGGCCTGAGGGAGCCGGCGACCATTAATCTTGGTGGGTTGACCGCTGTCTGCCCCAGAGGTCCCAGCTTGCCGGATGACTCAGACTCCTCAACACTTCTCCTATTCTTCTCTCACTGGGACATTTGGGAGGCCATTTCTAAGGCATTTTGATTTGGTAATAATTGACATGCCCCGCTATGCCCTGGCTGGCTTTCTAAATGAATTGGCTGGCTTTCATCATCCCTGATACTGGCCCACCTTGCACACCTAGGAAAAGCAGACTCCTGCCTGCCCCTGCCTGTCTCCCACTTCCCCGCCCTCCATCTGGCCAGCAGGCTCTCCCCTCTGCCATGGATGACCCTAGCCTAGGAGCCTAGGCCCTCCTTCAGTCGCCTTCCACGAGCTGAGAGCACGAACTGGGGAGAGGGAAGATGCGACCAGAGGTTCATCTGTCGATCATTCTACAAGGCGCTGTGTCATGAATGGCAGCCGCCATCTGCCGTCCAACTTCTTTGTAAACGTTCTGGAATTCAGAAAGCCCACAGACACTTGGTACAAGTTGGACAACCCTGAGGGTAAGGGTTTTGGAGACACGGCATGAAGGCCAAAGTGCTATGTACACACTTTCAAAGAGTGGGGTGAGGCCTTCTTGACCCTCATTTCTACCCATATCCGGCCGCGGGAACTGCTCCTCCTGGTGCTGGGCTCCAGGCCAGCTTCTGTGACACGGCGCTGGTGGTGTCCCGTCAGTACTCCTGACACAGGGAAGACGCAGCTGCATGGTCGTGGGTCCGGCTCTTCATCTCTCTGAGCCCCAAGAGTCTGTGAGTGATGCACGCGGCACCCATTCCCAGGGCTGCTGGAGAGGAGGAACCGTTAGTCACCGTACTCCGTCCCGACGCTTCCAGTAAGCTCCGTAATTGCACTGACGTCTATATTTCATTTCCAAAAGACAGTTGTTTACATAGGAAAATGCGGGTTTTTTTTTCTCCTGTTCGAACCTTTAAGTTTGTTTTGTTTATCAAATAAAGTTTCAGCCCCTCACTCTGCGTTTGCATCTCATTGGCAGGGGAAGGCTTACAAATGTAGATCTCTAACACTCTGTGTATACTTATCAGGCAGTCCCTTACGTAAGGCCCCGGACTAGACCTCCATGGGTGAATTGGACTTGACACCCAGAGGATGAGGCAGCAACATTCCTGGCTGTCCAGCAGAGACACACACACCCACACTCCAATCCCTGCAGGGGCCCTGCTGAGGGCCAGCTTGCTGCTGAACCACACCCAGGGAAGCAGCTAGGCACCGGAGAATTGCCCAGCGTATGTGGGGGTGGGGGTGGGGAGACAAGGTTGGAAATCAAAACTGGCCGGTGACACAGCTGGTGGGCCTACAGTTCTGGGGTCCACGGGGTCATTTCCTGACGATGTCCTGATGTTTTTCAGACTGCTTGGGGGGGGGGGGCAGAACTGTGGTAGAGGGCTGTGGCTCCAGCACCACACTGAACACATCAGGATGTAGAAACCCGAGGCTGTAGGTTGATAGAGTTATAGTCTCACGGCCAAGACCAGGCCCGGACACAGCCCACAGGCAGGGCTTGCATCTACCCCGTAGCTTCTTCCTGAGATCCCCTTGTCTGCAGATCATAGCAAAGGGAGGCTGTCCGCATCATTTTGGTTCTCAAAAAAAAAAAAAAAAAAAGTACAGGGGTCTCTGCATGCGCATCTCTGTGCAAAGCGTGGGCAGAGGTCTGATCTTGAGAGCCGGTGCTTTAGTGGGAGACAGCTCTCCTGTGGTGGGGCAGGGCTGCTGGGGTGAGGGCAGGATAAGGATGGTGGGTAGGGAGGCTGCCAGAGCAGAGAGGGGCAGCTGGCTGTGGGTCAGGGAATCACTCCTGCAAAGCCAGCGTCTAAGTTTGGTTTTGAAGGGCCTGGTGGTCTCCACGAGGAGGACCAGGAGAATTTCAAAATGAATAGGCGAGCACGCGCAACTGAAAAATCAGCCAGGGGATTGATTCTTCGGTGGCTCGGTAACACACATTTGCTGTGTCTCTGTTCAGGGCACTGTGCATGGTCCCCACTGGGTGGATCAGAGTGGGTGGGGGCGGAGGGGATAAAGGCTGAGGAGACTGGGCACATCGGGACATGCCAGGAAGGTGCGAGGGCCCGTGCCTCCGGATGTGTCAAAGCCTTTGTAGTCATGTAGGCACTGGCTCATTGGTGGTCAAGCTTACTACAAAGGATCTGCACAACCGAGAGGGTTCCTTTTGTGGAGGCCATCGAGGGACCTTTTCTAGTGGGCTGTCTGATTCTCTTGGGAACTTGGTGGGTTTCATTCCTAAACCCTGATGTGGAAAGAGCCTGAAGTACCTATCTTCAGGAAGAGCGCTGGATTTCATTTTGGTCCCTCCGGCTCCTAGTGAATTGATAATCTACCCGCTGCTCTGGGCCCAGCAAGCTCTGACCTTCCTTCTCTCCCACAGGCCTGCCGAGCTAGCCACCAAGTACGCAAACTTTTCAGAGGGCGCTTGCAAGCCCGGCTACGCTTCAGCCCTGATGACTGCCATCTTCCCCAGGTAAGTGATTCTTTCCCACAATGCCTGGTCAGTGTGGGCTATGGCTCAGCCCTATGAAACATCTTAGGGGGCTTGGCCTCCTCCTGAGAAAATACGTTTGCTGTAAGCCCCCTCCTCTGTCCAGTGGTGCCAGGGGAAGGACTCTGCTTTTACGGGTCACACCCCACCCACTCTGCTTTTGCCACGTTCTACTTCCATCCGGCCTCTAAGAGTTGTGCCTGGCCTTGCAGTACCTTTAGAGGAGAGAGAGGAGGTAGAATCTGCATGGCTGGCCCCGGAAGCCAGGTGTTAAAGCATTGGTTAAACCAAGCTGGAGCATACTGCTGGCCTCAGGAAGACATATCCAAATAAAGCAGGAATGACGAATGCTTCCTGAAGCTGTCTGGATGTTAGCATCTTCTCTCTCTGTCCGTTTTGCATCTGGGGTGCCTGATCTCCCTGACTTCAGACTTGCCAAAAGAATGTGTGCCAGGTGTAGTCAGTTCTGTTTACCAAATGCCTTCATCAGGCCTCGATGTGGAATGGGGACCGAAGAGCTGAAATTGTCCTGCCTCATCTCTAAGTGCTGGAGATGTCAGTGTCATTTTGTTCTATAAAGAAAATGGTGGGAGCTGAAGAAAGGGCTTCTGGACACCGAGATGTGGCACTCGGCACACCAGAGTGCTGGGGGAGCTCTGCTTTCTGGGGGAAGGACTTGCCTCCCATCGTTAGAAGCCCAGGCTCAGGACATGCAGTTTGTTTTCACTGAGGGATGCTGAGAAGCAGCTGGTACCAAAGCAGATGCAGGATCTTGAGTGGGATATGCATTTTCTCACCCACTGTGAGCAGTCCCACCCAGCTCCCTGTGGAAAGCAGGGGCTACAGTTGCGTTGCTGGTGCTCACATTGGTTCTCAGTGCGGGCTCTGCCTTCTGAGCTGACCCCACTGCTGGCGTCCTCTGCCTGTAACTGAATCCTCCAGAGTGTGAGGCACTGTATTCTGTCTTACACAAGCTGCACAACTCCATCCCCTAGCCTAGACACTTGTGAGTTTCCCTTGATCTGAACATAGGTTTCTTCTGTTATTCTAATTGAAAGTAATACAAATCTGCATGTGTGCGTGTGTGTGTGTGTGTGTGTGTGTGTGTGTGTGTGTGTGTGTAGGCGGTGGTTGGGTGTGGCTCTCCATCCCTTCCCCAGGGACAGTCACTTTCACCACACATGGAAATATGTTTTATTGTTCTGTAGTTCACTTTTTACTCCTAAAAGCTATGTTACAGATTATTATATTACTATAATACAATAAAGTCCATCCTTTTTTTCATATGTTTTTATTTCTTTAGGGGATGTTGAGAACTAAAACCAATGTCTGCCCCTAAACTATATGCTCAGCACTCCATATCTTTGGTTTTTGTTTGTTTGTTTTGTTTTGTTTTTGAAACAAGGTCTTACTGTGTAGCCTTGGCTAGCCTGGAGCTTGCTGTATAGATCAGGCTGGCCTTGACTTCACAGAGATCCACCTACCTTTGCCTCCCAAGTGCTAAAACCCATATCATTTGTAAAATTATTATATAACATAATTATATCGACATATAATTTTGATAAAAAAAATATTCGTTGAAGTTTATGTACAATAAAATTTGCCCTTTGATGTCATTCTGAACTTTGACAAATGCGACCATGTGAGCACGGTAATCGGTAACACATCTCCCCCAGGATTCCCCACGCTACTTCCTGGAGAGCCCCTCTCTCACCCTCAGCCTCTGGCAAGCACTGGCCTACTTTCTATCCCTGTAGTGTTTCTAGAATGTCTTAGGCATGGAATCAGAGTGCGCAGCTTTCTGAGGGAGCGTCTCAAGTTTGGTGTGATGTATTCACAGTCCAAGCATCTGTTGTATACGCTGGTTGTCTGCTCCTTGTGGCTGCTGAGCAGTATTCCATAGCAGAGATGAGAGGCTTCTGTTCACACACAAGCATACGGTAATTCCAGTGTGAGGGCACTGGGGCGTGGCTTAAGGGGAGGGGAGAGCCATTAAAGCACTGAGTATGGGCTTTGTCTGGATACCTGTGTTCACCTTTCTAGACTTAGGAGCGCAGTGGCCAGGTCCAGTGGCTTACGTACAGCTCGTGTGTAAGAAACTGCTAAGCTGTCTTTCCGTGTGGTTGTACCAGTTTTGTGTCCCACCAGCTGTAGCTGACGGTCCCAGCTACTTAACGTCCTTCTCTGGGCCTGGGTGTGTGTCTGGGGAGGGGAGAGGAATGTTATTCTCTCCATGTCTTTACAGGGCAGGAATTTTTAATATTGATAGAGTCCAACTCATTACCCTTTTTTCTTTTATATATTAAACATTGGGTGTTGTATCTAAGAAATATTCTCAAACAAAAGGCCAGAAGTTTCTTTTTCTTGTTTTCTTCTAGAATTGTTGTGGGTTTAGCTCTTGAATTTAAGCCTCTGACCCTTTTAGAGTTTTGATTTGTATATGGTGGCATGTAAGAGCTTGGGATTTCTTTATTTGCATATAGGTGTTTGCTGGTTCCAAAATAGTGTTGGCAACTCCGACAACACACACATGTGCATACATACACATACATATGCACATACACATACATGCACGCGCATGCACTAAAGTCCCTTGATTTTGTTGAATTATTGAACATCACTGACATGTGCATTGCTATTTTGCTGATCTTTGTCTGCCCTTGTGCTAATGTCGCACTCGACTGGACGGTCCTGTCTTCTGTTACTAAGGACGGTTTTATTTCACCCTCTCAGGTCCCGTTGCCTCTCCTTTTTATTCCACTTACTGTTTATCGTATGTGAGGTGGGGCATGCCACAGCATGCATCGCGCGGTCAGAGGAAAACTCCCGAGCAGATTCTCTCCTTCCTCTTCTTTTTTTAAAAATTTATTTCTTTTTTTATTCATTTTACATTCCACCCCCAGTTCTCCCTCCCACCTCTCCTCCCACCCCCCTCGCCAACTAAGGCTTAAATTGCACATCAAACCCCACACACTAATAGTGGGAAACCAACATCCCACTCTCGCCAGACAGAAAATTGCCCTTCTACTCTTTTGTGGGTTCTGGGAGTGGAATCTGTGCTCTCACACTTTTACCCCCTGAGCCATCTCGCTGGCCTGGTGCTGCCTATTCTTTTATTTTTTTCTTGCCTTGCTGTATTCAGTGGACTCTTCAGTATGATGGTAAATAATATGATTATTACATTTTAACAGCTTGATCAGCTCACCCATCCCTGGAGGACGCAAAGTAGATATGACTGAAACTTTCTGTCCTCTGCTCACGTGATTGGTCCACTGAAGTCAGCCCCCATATATGAAGGGGTATATTTTTTTCTGCTCTTGAGCTCTTGCATGCATGGTGGGGTAACAAACAGCCCATCCTTGCTTTTAATATGCTAGTGTCTTCGTGTCTTCATATTTAAGAGGTTTCTTGTATACAGCACATAAGTTGAGCCTTGCTTTTTAATACAATATGATAATGTCTGCCTTTTAATGGAATATTGCTAAAGTTATATGCCGTTTATATGGAAGTCATCAATATGATTATGGTTAAATCTACTATGTTACCATTAGTTCCTATTTGTTTCTTTCATTTCATGCCTCCTTTTGGATTAATTACGTACTGTGATTTCATTTTACCCTCACACTACTAAGTTTAAGCTACAATATTCATAATTGTCAAAAGACAGAAACAATCCAAACACACATGTATACTTTTAATTTCTATTCCTTTGAGTCTTTTTTTATGTCTTCTGTCTCATTCTTTTTTTAAGTCCATGTTTCGTTTTATTTTTTATTTTATGTTCATTGGTATTTTGCCTGCATGTATGTCTGTGTGAGGGTGTCAGAAGCCCTGCAACAGGAGTTATAGGCAGTATGAGCTGCCTTGTGTGTGCTGGGAATTGAACTCATGGTCTCTGCAAGAACAGCCAGTGATCTTAACCGCTGAGCCTTATCTCCAGCCCACATCTCTGGTTTTTTCTGCTTAATGAGATTTTTGTAGTAGCTGTGTGATGACCTGAATAAGTATGGCTCCCATAGGCTCATTTTTAAGTGCTTGGCACCCAGTTTGTGGAGCTGTTTGGGAAGGATTTGGAGGTGCGGCTTCATTAGAGGAAGTATGTCACTGGAGGTGAGCTCTTGGGTTTCAGAACACCATCCATTCCCGGTTAACTGTCCCTCTCAGCCTCCTGCTTGTGGGTCAGAAGCCAGTTCTCAGCTACCGTCAGCACAGTGCTTGCTTGCTGCCGTGCTCTCTGCTCTGACAGTCATGGATCCCAACTCTCTGAAACTGTAAACCTTAAATGAACTCTTCTTCTGTAAGTTGCCTTGGTCATGGCGTCTTATCACAATAGAAAAGTAACCAAAGCCAGCTGCTTTAACATTCCCCTCTGATAATTCTGGAACAGTTTCTATTGATGTATACTTTTCTGGTTCTTTACCTGACAGATTTTATTGGACACAATAGGTTTTTATCCTGTGCTAGATCTTGCTGTATTCCTTTAAAAGGCTCTGGATTTTGGTGCATTTAATGAAGTTGCTTGGAAACAGTAGGGGCCCTCCCTACAGGCTTGCGTGAACAGTGTTAGGCAGGTCTTGAGCAGTCTTCCCTAGAACCATTTATCCTTCAGATGCTGTAGCCTCCTGAAAACACTGCTCAAAGACATCTGTCTTAGCAAGTAAGTCCACTCTTGTTGATGTATTCCGCTCAGCTTGTATGAACAGAAGCAGCTCCTAGTCTGGTGTGAGCACCTGATGTTTGTTTGTTTGCTTGCTTCCTCCCGGTGGCTTTCTTAGCCCCTGTGTCTCCTTCCCTGTGTGCTCAGATCAGTACTTGGCCAAAGATTTGGGAGGTGCCCTTGCAGATCTTCAGAGCTCTCTGTGCTGCTCTCTTGTCTAAAGCAGTCTGTCCTGTGAGATACAGGCTCTGTGGCCTTCCTAAGTGTTGGTGTGTTTGCTCACCTCAGAAAGACCTTCAAGCTCTGCTTAGATTCCCGTCCTCAC